AGGATTTTAAATGAAGCAAGTGATAGCTTATTTAGTTTCCTTAAAGAAAGAAAAGTACAAACTGATGATAAACTAAGAAAATCAATAGCCACATTTAAGGATTCACACCAAAACAAGGAATTATCAACAAGCCATTTTGTACTAGCACAAACTTGCACAGAGAATCAAGCAGCTCCCTCCACGACTGGTAATCAAACAAAGACAAAGCAGTCTACCAACCAGAGAGATTCAGACAAACAAAATCCATAACGTGCTACCATTGTGGTAGGATAGGCCATGACAAGTCTGAATGTTGGAAGCTGAGAAATGAAAAATACAGATCTCAAGATAGACAGGATAACAAAGGAAATTACTACCATAAATACAGATCTTATTCACTGGGTATTCCAAGGAAGTACAACAACAGTGACAACTATAGATACTATTGAGATAATAGATCTTGACCAATCAACTAAGTTTCATAAAAATAAAGATAGCCAGTAGATGAACAATATGAATCAACAAACTGGAAGCAAACAAATAGTAGCCACTGCATGTGAGGCCAATAAGAAACTAGTATATTCTCCAGCATTGCTTAAGGGCAGGTTAAACCCCCCCCCCCCCCCCAAATACATATTTAAGTCAGAAATGTTGATTTTTCAAAATATATTGTTTCTGAAACTACATTCAATTCTGAACATTTTTCTATAATTATTTTGCCAAATTACGTATGGCTGGTACTTTTTACAAATTTTTAATTAATGAGAGTTATGACGTAAATCACCTATATTTAGCAATATTTAGCAACATAAAAATTAAAAACTAACTAAAATAGATGTTCTAATTGCTGAGCAAGAGGCTCCAGATGCAAATTATGTAACTGGGAGGTTTTAAAAGTTACTTTTTTGTATAGTTTTCGCTTTTTTTTCACTATTAAGCGTTTTTCTCAAAATGTTACTTTTCAACAAAATTGTACCAGTTAAATCACTATAACTCAAAAACTACTTGAGATATTTAGCTGAAATTTTGCACACATGTTTACTGAGCACTGCTTGTATAGTTGAACTAAAAGAATGTCTATATCTTTGAAACTTCTCATTTTATAAAATAAAAGCTAAGTCTACTCCCTACTTTTTGGAAAAATTTTAGGTCTCACATTTAAAAAATTTGGCTAAAATGGTCTGGAGACCATTAAAAAAGGGACAACAATTATTGTAGACAAAAGTGGGTAGAAGAAAAGATGATACTGGTCAAATGCATGATGTCAGTTTACCGAACCAAGTGTCCATTAACTGTAGAAAAGCTAATGTGGAAATTGACTGTCCATGGGTGACAGGTACCTTCAAAGCAATGGTAATGAAAAACACTGCATGCCCATTAATTATAGGCAACATTCTAGTATAGGTACCGGTTGTATTAACTTAGCAGGATAAAGCAAATTACTGTCGAGAGCCATTGTTCTTTCTGCCTTGGTGCAATGAGTGTGTCAATAACCAGGAGATGTACAAAGCATTGAATTTATTGACAAATTAATTACTTGTGAGTACAAGGAAGACAATCCGTTTTTGTAGCTTCAGATTCACAAGAACTCTCATACAAATGATCAGGAATAAAAGCAACTTCAACTTCCCCATGCCTTGTAGGCACAGTACAATGATTTGGTGGAGATATCCGAGGGTAAAACAGATGATTCACTCAAAGAAACAATTGTGAGCATTACAAAGGCAAATGGTACTTATTGAAAGAACAGAGATGACATACCATTTAAAGATATTCTAAAATCTTAAAATGTCTGAATAGATGTACATATATGTCATCAGGAGCTCTATAAATAAGCCTCAAGTATTTTTATGAAGAAAGAGTACAGAATATAATGTTAAAGGATATAATAAAGATATACTGCATCTAGACTAGAGTCAAAGATGGACTTACATTTTGTTATAAAAAAGAGTACGGTTTTGCGTCATATATTATAAAATATGCAAGTAAAATTGATAGTAAGTTATCAAAACTATTATGAAGCATAAAGCCTGATGCCAAAGGGAAATAAGAACATAAATAACCAGGATCGTGAAAACAAATGCACAACTCCAACGTTTGAAAGGTTCTACTTCTACAGAGGTGTACATGAAAGAGTTATTAAAAAAAGAAGTACGCAACCTAATTGGATTTATATCTACCTTGTCTATTATTCGCCTACAGGGAAGTACCTCACTCTATAACTGGCTTCTCTCCATTTGAACTGGTATATGGTGCCAACCTAAAGGTCCCATGGATATTATGAAATCCTTACTTGTAGATGACAGATTGAACTCTGAGACTAAGTCTACATACAACTGAGTTATAAATTTGAGACATCATTGGCAACATATTCATATAAATAATTAATATGTCACAATAATGGAGGGAAGCAGAGTTGGATGAAGACAATATTCATTTAGAGGAATCAAAGCTGTACATGTGTAAGAAGAAAACAGCCATAAACAAATTCTAAAGACTTTAAATATGTCTGAAAAGATGTACATATGAATCATCTTAAGACGAAGAAAGGCCTGCTGTATTCTGACTTTAGCAGTGCACAAGCACTCAATTGTTACTTCTTATGGCAAGGCTAAGACTCTTGCAATACATTGGAAACTTCATGCCGAGCTTATTGCTGCCGAGGTATCCATTCTGGGTGATCAGATTTGGTCTTCACACTGTGCCGCAGAATTGACCTTTCCAGAAGTTAATGTCAAAGCGTACAACAAAGATATATTGATTGACTCCTCGAGTCAAATATGAACCTACAGTTTGTTATAGAAGATTATGGTTTTGCTTCATACATTATAAAACACACTTGCAAAATTGATAATATGTTATCAAACTATTACAGGGCATAACATCTGATGCCAAAAGGAAATAACAGCTCAAAGAGCCAGGATGTTGAAAACAAATGCACAACTCTAACGTTTGAATGAAGGTTTTACAGAGGTGTACATCAAAGATTTATTTAAAAATTCATAACTGATAGAGAAGAGATTTGCCTGGCAACTTTTTCTGGTAAATAATTAATATGTAACAATTAGGTGGGAAGCAGAGTTGCATGAAGACAATATTCACTTGGAGGAATCAAAGCTGTACACACTCAAGAAGAAAACAGCTGTGATTAAGTACAGGCGGTACAAAAATAGCAGGATCAAGCAAATTACTGCAGAGAGCATTTGATCTTTCTGCCTTGGTGCAATGAGCTGGAAAATATAGAGTGTGTAAATAACAAGGAGCTGTACAAAGACAGTGTGGCAAGGATAGAAATAAAATAAAATATTTTCAGCAATCGCAGACAAAATTTCAGACAATGCTTTAGAAAATGGCAAACATCAAGTTACAGATATCAAAGAAGAGGAATCCCATGAATTTATGAAAGAAAAACTTTCAGCAAAAGAAAATGTGGACATTCTGCAGCAAGGAAGACAGCAAGTCCCTGTTGATAAGAATAAAAATTCATAGTGTTCCGAGTAGGATACCACAAGAAGACATGTTTTTTTGGATCCAACCAGGGACACAAGGACTTTATTTTCCATATAATTATGTCCATCAAATTGAGAAAAAGTCCTTTCTATGTCTCCTTGATTGGATCTGTAAGTTCTGGAAAAAGCTGGGTTATTAGGTGTGTATATCAATCAGTTACAAAATATTTTGACTCAAGCCAGGTTCTTCGGGAGATTGCATCTATGCATTATGTGCACCCTCCCATAAAGCTGTATTGCTAATCGTATGTGTAAAATACTGCATACTGCATTTGCATTACCCATATCTCAGTTTGGAGGTTCAATGCCTGAGTTATCAACAGAAGTAGCCAACACAATAAGGGCAAAGACATTTAAAATTACTGATTAGAGAAGAAATGCTAGAAGCGATATTTTCAAGCGATTGGAGTCTCGTTTGCACCAAATAATAGCTGTAAACAAACCCTTTGGAGGAATATCAGTTTTGCGTGTCGTAAATTTAACCAGCTACCACCAGTTATGGATTCACTTATTTATATGGTAAGAAAAGGCAACGAGCTTTGAGAATTAGTAGATCGAAATCCCATTTGGGACCTATTTACATTCTATGAATTGAACAAAATAATGCGTTAAAAGGATGAATTTGAGTTTACTCAAGCCCTTAATGGGTTAGCCAGTGGAAACATGAAACACAAAAATGTTGAACAGTTCCAGTCTAGGCAAGTGTCGCCATCAGCAGATCCCAAGAATGCAATCAGATTGTAAGGCGAAAATAAATTTGTTGATCTTTACAACGAGGAGAAAATTAAAAGTCATCCAGGTCCACACTAGGTCCCCTTTGCAGATGATACCATATTAGGAAAGCTCTCAGAAAGACATGAGGAAATCATATTGCAGGGACTAAAGGAAAAAGAACTGAGTGAAGGAAAAAGCCTACCATACTTTATTTTTTAAAATAGGAATAAAATATGCAGTAACAACCAACAATGATGTAGAAGATGGTCTCGTTAAGGGAGTATGTGGAGTCTTAAGGTTAATATCATTCGATAATGAGGAAAGCAAAGTACCAAAGATACTCTGAATAGACTTTTTCACACAGATGGTAATGAGGTAAAGGTGGCCCATTGATAACAATAACATTGACTCATATTTAGAGCCCAAAAGGAAGTTTTTTTTGTGAGTGTGTGTTTGTGTCTGTGATTATTTTAAATTATACAGCATGTTCTAAGAATTTTTCGCCTTTATGTTTTCTCAACTTATAAAAAAACAGAGGTTTTGTCACTAACATTAATATTTCTATAGCACTATTGCACTGAATATATGAGAAAGTTAGGGAGATCACTCCCAGTTCATTTCTTTATCTATTTATAAATATTTAAATTGACCTCCAACTTTTCTTGTTTGAGGTATGCTGAAAAAAAGCAAGCTTAAAGAAGTTAAACATTTGGATAACAAATCTTCAACATCCAAATGATCCATAGAAGAAATTAAAAACAAAGAAGAATAGAAGTAGAATAAACCATTAGCACTCAGTTATGGGAGTAAAATTTGGAGGTATCATATTCACGGCATATCAAATGTCATTTGTTGTTTCTGCAGCACAAGATCTACCCTGATAACTCATTTTCAGTTCTGTTTACTGATTTCTCAAACATTTCATGAAGATTAGGAAATAGCACAATTTTCAAATTCATGTTCTTGTTTCAGAACTTATCCCATGATAACTTGACTTCAGCTCCTTTGACAACATTGCAGTCAGATTGTGTATTGAAGATTTTAATTGTGTAATGGTGCTGTCTTTTTCTGTAAGTTCTTGTTTCAAACTTTGTATTGTTTGTATATATCTTTTTTCTGCCTGCTTCAAAATTTTAATTTTTCTATGTTTCACATCTACAGCTGTTGATTTAAATAACTTTGACTCTGAGGATTGTGATACAAAAGTTTTTGCTAAAGCAGTCTTTTGTATTCCAATTAATCTGGTAGAAAATTCTTTTTGTTTTTCTAGTTCAGTTGTTAATCTTTCTATTTTCTTATTCAGCCTTGTAATGGCAAAGATTTTGTTGGTTTTCTGTTCAGTTTTCAATTGTCTGTTTTGTATTTTCAACTTTTTGTTGGCTTTGACCAAATCTTGTGTAGATTTTCTTTTTAGAGCACATTTTGGACAGTCCTTTTTTAAACTTATAGTTTCTTTCTCAACTGCAAAGCCTGGCACATACTGCATCTCTTCAACTTCTTGAACGTAGACATCTTTTGCTTTAAGTCTAGGTTTAGGATGTGGCAAGCTGAAAGGTCTTTCCAAAAACTGAACAATTTGAGGCCAATTCTTTGATGCTCTAAACTGTCTGTAAATGTTACAAGAACGTCTCACATATACATGAACAGTAGTATCACTGCAACTCATGGCCTGCCTATCTTTAAGAATTCCTTCCAATAGTTTCACAGTTGGGCAAACTTTTCTAGCATTTTCAATCCAAAGATAAACTACATGCCCTTGTTTAATTTCAACAGCCTGATGAATATTATTGTACGTGTTGACTAAATTCTTCAAATCATTAATATCATGTACATGCCCTCCCAAGTATTCTGTTTCCACATTTGTAGTTTCTGCTACATCAAAAGAAGTACTTGCATGATCTACCATTCTGAAAAAAAAAGAGTACATTGAAATGCCTATGAATGACATCAAGTTAGCATATAGATCTAGTATGATACAGTCTCCTGTGGGTCTATATCATATAAAGTTTTCTGAGAACCACCACCGTAAATGATGTTATGAACTCACACCCCACACCACAAAAATATATTTTTTCACAAAAGAATAAAAATAATTAAAGTCTTAGAACTTGGTATGTAGATCTAAAGTGCTAGGTCACTATGTGGCTATGTGGGATAGGATATCTCTAACATCTAGGGGTTCCCAACCTTTTTTTACTCTAGAGCACATTCTAAAATATCGGTAGGGTGGCGGGCACCACCTATTTTAAATCGACAAACTCCTTCCAGAGGCGTAGCAACCCTTCCTGTCACCCGGGGACAAAACTTTCAATTTGCACCCCATCAAATTTTTGAATTGCCCCCCCCCCCCCTCAAACTTTCGATTTCCACCCCCTACAACCTTTCAATAACGTTTATGAAAAAAATTCTGTCTCTGACGAATAGTGAGAGGCGGGCACATACGAATCGTTCGGCGGGCGACATGGCGACCACGGGGATGGGAACCCCTGATCTAGGCCAAGCCTCTAGATCTACTCTTCCAGATGATTAAACAGATCTAGATCTATCACATGTCTGAATTTCTAGATCTAGATCTAGATTTATAGATTAGATGATTCTAGTAGAGTAGACTAGTACTAGTAACTAGTAGATCTAGATCTTGATCTATCTATAAAATGTCTAAATAGTAGGCCCCTAATACTAATTAATACTACTAATAACTAATAAATACAGTAGATCTAGAAACCTAAAATTAAAAGCTGCAACTGCAAGAAAACTGAGCAGAAACTGAGCAAATGGTTTTGCCTTCCTTTTGCCTTACTCTGGCCGTCAGTCTGGCCGGATCAGAAACGTGCATGCTGCATAAATTTTTTACATAGCCAAATTTTAATGGAGGCGAGCGAGTTGACGAGATTCCTTCCATAATGTTGTTGTCATGGAATAAAAACGTGCTTTTTAGATTTAGGCCGTAAAAAAAAATAAAAAATAAAAACTTAAGCCTAAAATTAATTTAGAAATTTTATATTTTTAGAATAAATGCTATAAAAGTTGCAAATCCAGAGAACTTGAAAATAATTTGTTGAGTTTAAGGCTACATTTCTATTTATTTTCATCAAGCCTAAGTTATAACCGGATGTTTCACTTTCGTAAGACAAATATTGATTGGCTGTACAGTAACTTAGTAATCGATAACTATTTGTTTACAAAACTTTGCAGATCAAGTTTTTAAATTACAATGCAAATTTAAAACCCCATGACCTAGTTTTCTATTTTTAGCTTACAATGTGTACAATAAAATCTATGGCAGCCTATCCAATAGCAGGATGCCATGTTTATGTCGCCATTACACGTGAAAACCAAATTGTTTTTGCTTTTTTTTTAAATTTTTATTTAGTTACCGAAAATATTATAAACATCAAATACATCCAATCTTTAGTAAAGTCCGAAAAAAACCAGACAGGCAGGATTTTATAACCATATTAATTGTAAATACGCTGTGCATGATTTTTTAATGAATTTATACACCTCTCAAATACCTTTGAGTGAGACTTTTCTCGCTCGTGTCCATTTAAAGTTTAAAGCTAAGTTAACTCAACTAGACTCTAGAATGGTTTTGGAATAAAATATTCCAAAAGAAATCAGTAGGCCTAACGAATTTTTACCTGCTTTATAATTTAAGATCCAGGATTTAATTTAAATCTTTAATATTAATATTTTATTAGGGCCTAGACTAGATTCTAGATCTATGTGGTTTTTTCTAACGGTAAAGTAAACCATGCAGAAATCTAATGACGTCCCTTTGATGATTAATTTGGTTTCGTTTTTTAAATAATAATTCGCAATAATACTACCGTTGCTTATCTCAATCTGCAATCCATTTCAGACGTCAACACGTCAGGGGAAGATTTTCTGCAAGGACCTGCGTGGTCTGAAGGGGAAGGGGGTCCATGTATTACATTTTTTTTTAAAATCTCGCTCATTGGGGTAGGGGCTTCGGGGGGGGGGGGGGGGAGGACGAAAGAAATTCTACATGTTGAATTGAATATCGAAATACTAAATTAATGTATTAAACAGTCTCGTATAGATTAAAACAACAGTGCTTGTGTTTTGAAAAAAATAGCACAGCTCAACGTGATAAATAAATGAAGTTATTTATAGGCTACTGCGGTGTCATCTATAAAAGACGTCATGCTTACTTTAAACTATTTCAAGCATGTGAAGGATTAACTTATTTCTTTCTATACAGTTGGTAACAATTGAGAAAAGTATACAAATTTGTATTTATTACATTTATTTGGTTTGCAAATGAATTATAATGTTTTGATAGTTTAAAAGTAGGCATATTCATAAGGAAATATTTCAATTGTTGATGTAAGCTTTTTTTTTGTTAGGCGAATACCTTAGTGGTTTGTTTTCAATTTGATTCAATTCAGTTGAATACTTTTTGAAAGTAAGAATTTTTTTTAAGTCGCCACCTGGTCATACAAGAGCGTAACAACATTTGTCTATTTATAGCTGGTGGGGCAGTCATTCGATTTTCCGCCTACAGTGAATGGACTAATTTTATAGGTTTGTATAGTCTATATGCATAGTTTAGCCCTTTCACTGCATGCATGTAATGACAGTTATTTTTTTAATGATTTTCTCTTTTTTATGTGGCCAGACAAAATATCAAACAAAGACCTGTGGCAATTTTTAAAGCAACAGCCAATAGAGAAAGATATCAAGGCCCGTAAATGGGGATGGATCGGACACACACATTAAGAAGAGAAAAAGAAAACATCGCAATTCATGCTATGGACTGGAATCCCCATGGAAAAAGGAGGGTGAGCCAGCCAAGGAAGACATGGAGAAGAACTGTTGAAGAAGAGGCTAAAACAGCTGGGCTCACATGGGCACAGATAAAGGGAGCAGCCCAAAACCGATGGAAATGTGTGGTTACAGCCCTTTGCTCCCCAGGGCCCACAAAGGAATGATGATGATGTTATGGAGGGGAGGGGAGATAAAAATCGTCAAAAAAGCGTGACGTCATTTATGGATGACCCCCATGTATTGCATACTTCGTATGCGTATTTTTATGTTGATTGCAGCTTTTTTGTCGGGGACTTGTGGGGGGGGGGGGGGTGCGGACACTGGTTAACGTATATATTATTTACTATATAAAATTATTTTTTTCTATTTCGTCCGGTGAGGGAGTTGCAGTGCAACCCGAAAAAAAGGCATGAAAGAAACTCTGAGCTTGAGTCGTGTTGTAAGCCTACCTGTGCTTGTTTTTGGGATTACACTCTGAGATCAACGAGGTATAGCTTTGATAGATCATAGGCTATACATATTTACGTTGTTCAGATATTCTATTAAAAGAAACACGTTGTTTTAAGAAATTATGTTTATTTTATTTATAATCATACATGTTTAATTTATTCTTTTAAAAGAATCACGTTTTTTAGAAAGCAGTTTATTAAAATCTTATTTTATAATAAAACAAATCAGACTTTAAGACAGTGTCCAATTTTCTTTTTTTCTTCTTTTAGAATTGACGCATTATTGTAGTACTTTTAGGTATAGACTGTATGGCTATGGAGGTACAAAAGGATTAAACCGGTGGTTCATTTTATTTTTCTATCCGTACAGTTTTTCATAATGGTTTTCCTTTTTGTTTATTCTTTTACGTTTTTAAAGCTTATTCTAACACATCATTTCTTGTTTCTTCCTTTTTGGTTGCCTATATATTCCCCGTGTCTTTCTTCCTATTTTTCCTGCTCAGTAATTTCGTTTGTTTCTCCCCTTAGCTTATCTTTGCAATCCAATTGTGTTTCTTTGTGTAGTGTGTCTTCTTCTAGTTTGTCAACAGAACTTTCTTGTGTTTCTTCCTCATCTATGTGTGTGTAATCCTGGTGTGTTTCATCATCATTTGTATGTGTGTAATCAAGCTTTGTTTCATTCTTATCTTTTTGTGCGTAATCAATTCGTGTTTCATTCTCATCTTTATGTGTGTAATCAAGTTGTGTTTCATTCTCATCTTTATGTGTGTAATCAAGTTGTGTTTCATTCTCATATTTGTGTATGTAATCAAGTTGTGTTTCATCATCATTTGTATGCGTGTAATCAATTCGTGTTTCATTCTCATCTTTGTGTGTGTAGTCCCGTTGTGTGTTATTCTCATCGTTGTATGTTAGATCTTGTTTTGCTTCTTCCTCTATTTTATTCTTGTTGTCTTCAAGTTTTTCATCATCTTGCTTGCACACAAAGACTCCTTTAGATTCCTCCTCCATTTTGCCATTGCCATCCTTTTGTGTTTCTTCGACCGTTGTTTTCAGATTTTCAATGACGTCAGCGACGATATCATGATCCAATTCTTGCGTTGCATCCGACTCTATTGTCGAATCAGGTGAAACGGTAACTGTTGTTGAACAATCTGTTGATGCATTGCCTATGGCTAAATGCTGATTGGAATGTTCTAAATTATCGTTCTCAAAGTTTTGTTTCTCAGTGTGATTGACTTCGTTTCGAAAATTATCAGGGCTATTTGTTTCTTCAATAGACGCATTCTCCAAATTTTCTCTTGACTCATACGTGCAATTAGAATCCAAATCATCCATTCGATAATTACTCGTCGATGTGTTATGATCAAGTTCCCCATTTTTGCCACCATTATTCCGGTCCAATATTCTCTCTTCACTGCGCAGATCAGCGTTGACATTTCTCCGCATCACTTCCGCCACAGCGACCACGCCCCCTGCCGTGCTAGCCCCAGCCACGCCGATGAGAACTTGGGTGCCGATGTCAAGACCTTCAACACCAACAGATTCCAGAGCCGAGAGGGCCATCGTACCAAATCTGTAGACAATGTGGGATCGTTAGACTCAATATTTACTTAGATTAATAACAAACCTTCTTTATGTGTGCTTGCATAGCTTATATATATATATATATATATATATATATATATATATATATATATATATATATATATATATATATATATATATATATATATGTGTGTGTGTGTGTGTGTGTGTGTGTGTGTGCGTGTATATTATTTATAGATGAATTTATCTGCTTGCGTATTTGTGAGAATATGTATAACGGAGGCTTACTCAATATAACCTTAGGCTCAAAAGGGCAAAGGGCACTTGACAAGCTAGCTCTGACGTTTAATCCAACTCGGATTAGTGTTGACTAGGTACCCATATATTGAGTCAAAATCTCTCCACGACTAAAGTAGTTAATTAGTTAGGAACTAGAACTTTTTAAAACGCGCTCCAAAGAAACAATACTACTATATTTAGTAGAACTTCAGAGGTTTAAATTCAAGAACTATAAAGATAAACAAAAACTGGATTATTACCCAATTGAATTGGCGGTTTCCATCAGAAGCTCCGCGATACTCCCAGCTACGATACCGCCCGCTTCAAAGCCCAATGTACTAATGAGAATCGGAGCGGCAAGGGCAGCACCGATACCAGCCGCTGCGATACCTCCAAGTTTTATGGCCGTGGCTACAGCATTTCCTGTATTTCTGTTTTCTGGTGTCGTATTTGCTGTAGTGTTCTGAGCATTTGAAAACGGTTGAGCCACACCAGATTCAGGGGTTTGTGAATTCAAATCATTACTGCGGCTTTCTAAGAATGTGTTTTCTAGACTTGACAATTCCTGAGTCTCATCTCCATGAACCCTTGACGTCTCCAAAGTTTCGTTGTTTTCATTCACTTCAGATACCGAATCCTCAATGTCTACGCTACTCAAAGATGTATAATTGGAATCTGCATATTCTTCTTCGTTGTGTTTTTCTTCTGTTTTACTCAAATGTTGCTCTTGGGCCAACACAGATTCACAAGGATCAACAGCTTCGCTCTCACACTGTTTGGTAGTATCAGGCAGGCAAGAATCAACGTGAGAAATATCTGAAGAAGATTCCAACTCCGCTGCCTCGTTCTCAGAACTCGGCACCGTGATATTTTCATCAATTTGTTTTTGGATTTTGGAACCGTCAGATTCAAAGTCTGGAATCTTCTCATCCGTGATTAAAGATTGACAACTTTCATGAGCCAAATTAATAGAAATAGAGTCTATTGAATCTTGTACTTCAGTAGTAAAATTAGTGTTTTCGTCAGTCGTATTGCCTGTTAAAAGGATATCAATATCCAATCCTACTTCTTCATTCGATGTCTGAGTCTTTGGTTTCAAATCGTCCTCATCTAACGAGTTCACAGAGTCATTATTTTCAGCTAATGTATTTATAGCTGAAATAGTATTGTTTTCACTTTCTACTAGTCTATTTAGATCAGGTGGATTTGTTATTTCATTAGAATTATTCAGCTGGGCTGTCGAAACGCTGTTTAGAATGTTATCAACAAACAAGGATATTTTATCAGTAGTATCATCTGATGACGGCTCCTCAACAAATTTAGAGTCAGAACTCTTATCAGAATTTCCAACATCTTCTTTGCCCAATTCATTGCTAGGATCATCGTTTTCAGCATTCGTTGAAAGAAACAGATCTTCCTCTACATCGATTATTTCTTTCTGTGTTTCAGCATCACCATCAGAAGGATCTAATATTTTTACATCTCCATCTTGCTCAACTTTTCCCTTTTCTTTATCATCTACACTCTCGGCTTCTACTTTAACTTTATTGTTTAAATCTTTATTATGAATGGTATTTTCAACTTCCCCGATGGATTGTGACGATTCATTACTTTGAATAATTGTATCCCAGTTTCCAAGATTTGCGTTCTTTTCGTCTACAGATAAATTGGTATTTAAATTCAGTTCCTTTAACGTTTCATATGTCTCCATCTCCTTTTGTGTATTTCCTTCCTCTTTTAGACACGACTGGGTTAATGTAATCTCTAAACCATCGCTCTCTTTGTTATCGTCTAAATTTTTACTGTAACTCAACATAACTTCGTTTGTTGGTGTTTTTTCTTCCATTGATAACTCCTCAAGTTCTGTAGACGTTATAACGACAAAATTATCGATAGATATTTCTTCATCGGGTGTGTTGAGCAGAGCAGTATTAACATTGTCAGGTTTAATCTCTTCTGTAAATTGATCGTAGTTTTTATTATGTAAATCACAACCATCGACTTGCATTGTTTGATCATCATACATTTCGTTGTTTTTATCTTTAACCTCTATCGAAACTTGAGCATTTTTGTCAGACATAGCTGATTCGTCTGTGTTTGAAATTAGCGGAGAAACATTATCAAGTACGTCATGCGTTGCATGAACCGACTGACTGTTGTCATTAGACATGACATTTATGTCACCTTCACGATCAATCGCTACAAGAGTTGAGTCAATATTTTCAGATATTGATCCTTCTTCTAAAACAGCTGAGTCAGAAATTTTCAGTTCTTCTTTGTTTTGCTGTTTCCCATCATTTATACTATCGGATTTTAAAGGTGTTGAGTCAGTACAAAGAGATTCCGGCCCGTTTTCTAAACCAGCTTTGTTGGAAAATATCTGTTCCTCTTCGTTGTATATCTGTCTTTCATCACGTTCACTGACACTGTGAGTTGAGTCAGTATTTTCAAACTGTAACCCTCCCTCCACAACAGCTGCATCTGATTGCGTAAGGTCATCTCCACTGTATAACAATTTACTGACATTTTTATTTTCACATTTTAAAATTGTGTTACTACTCTCAACCGTGAAGCCTTCTCCCAAAACAACCGTGTCTGACTGTGTATTTTCTTTATCGCTGTTCATCTGTTTCTTGTCAATCGAACTCTCCCTTTCTAAAAGTATTGATTCGGTCACCCCAGGTTTCAACTCTTCTGCTTTGCATTTTTCGTGTCCGCTGTTTACACTTTCACTTTCTCCATCCCGTTCTAAGGTTGTAGATTCAGTGTGTTCAGATGTCAACTCTCCCTGTACGACTGATGTATCAGGCAAAAGCTGTTCCTCTCCTACTATAGACTGTTTTGGTCCTAAATTATCACTGCTCGTGTCTTCTAATTCTTGAGAACTTTGTGGGACTGCACATTCAGAATTTTCAGACATTTTTTATTCTCTTATTTTCTTTTGTTTTATGGTGTGTCCAAAGATTATTTATATTTCTTTACAAGGGTGATGACAAATCCAACTTCTGTTTCTCTATATACAATTTTGAAAGTCAAAAGAAGAAATTAGGACAAAAAAAAAACAGCAACTTAGGAATACTATTTAATTATTTTAAATTTACCCAAACACAACCACACAAGTCACTGCTGTATAGGCCTATATATACATATATATATATATATATATATATATATATATGTATATATATATATATATATATATATATATATATATATATATATATATATATATATTATATATATATATATATATATATATATGTAAATACATATATATATATATATATATATATATATATATATATATATATATATATATATATATATTCATATTAATTATATATGTATGAGTGTATGTATGTATGTATGTACGTATGTATGCTTTCGAGTGGCAGAGCGTTAGGCTGCTAGCACAAATATCTCGAGTTCGGACTTTTGATTGTAGGACGTCAACTTAGCTTTGATGGGTACCTGAACTAAGTTGGGGAAAAGTAAAACTTGCTGGGGATAGTGGCAGAGGCGTAGCGATGGGGGGGGGGGGGGGGGCAGGGGGGGGACATATATCCCCGGGCGCCGATCTCAGGGGGCGCCAAAATGGGTTTTTTTCAGTTTGACGGGGGGGGGGGTTGCAAATCGAAAGTTTGGGGGGGGGGGGGGGAGTGCAAATCGAACAGTTGAGGGGGGTGCAAATCGAAAGTTTGAGAGGAGGGGGTGCAAATTGAAAATGTGCTCCCAAGGGGGGCGCCAAATTGAAAGTTTGTCCCCGGGCGCCGGGAAGGGTCGCTACGCCTCTGGATAGTGCTGACCACACTTAATATGCCGAGGTTACGAAACAGATGAATTCTACTTTGTCTGCTTAATGGATCGCTAGCTTCAAAGAGGAATCTATTTATATATTTATGCTTATATCTAACAATTAGTAAGTCGTGTATTCTAAAGAATAGTTTTAGAACCACTTTCACTGTCTGACTATAAAGCTATTAGTGCTAAAAATGGATTTCAGCCAGACATCTTAGCTGTAATCTTCATAAATGTCGCATTCTTTCGGTATTGATTAGCTGGCGTTTGTATTGCAGCAAGCGTCTGTGTTTATATGTATGCAAGTATGTCTGGTATGCGTAGCACAGCTTGAGTTAATAATATGGTGTGTTAAATTAACAAATGTAAATAGGGAAAGTTGTTGTTAAGCTTTTTTAGAAATGTATTAACGATTGAATGGGTGGACCTAAGCAACTGCATGTTATTAGACTAAAGAGATTATTAACTACAGACTTAAATTGTGTGTTGAGATTTAATGAGCTGGTTCAAAACATGACTAAATAGCGAAGTATAAAAATGTCCTGAAGTAATTAATTTACATAGACATTTGGAAAGATATAGAATTTGATGCTTTGTTTGTATATGCATATAAGAAATATAAATGTCTTCCTTGACGAAACATTCACCCCCTTATCCCAAAACACACCCCTATACCATCGTTAATACGCTGTTGACGTGTATAGTTGTTCTTTGGAAGTAATAGACCACTAAATTGTACTCAACCGATGAAAAGATTTGCCTTCAGTTTGCCTACATCATGCTGGTAATAGAGAATCCGCTGAAATTGATATCTAATATTGCGTAATACCCGTATCTAAATATAATTCACATTATGAGAAAGAAATTCTATTTATTTTAAACTGTCGTAGAGATATTATCATTTATTAGACCACTATATTTTAAACACAATCTTAATCATGTCGAGGTATAAATAATTCGTTTAAAATTTACTCTGATAAAATTGATTGCTAGACCTCTTAATGTAACTCTGTACAATTAGGGTCTAGACAAAACAGTCAAACATTATAACCATAATTACAGTTATGGGCTTCAGGAGGAGGGCACAAACAAATATTCCGTAATCGTGATTGTTAAAATTAGTAAATTAATTTTTAAAAATTCAATCAGAACAACAAAAATCAAGACAAATTAGAATATATCTAAAACATAGGAAAGATGTGCAGCACACATGTTTAGAAATATTATGAAAAACATTTCGTTTCGTTTTTTTTAAAAAAGGAAAAAGACATTTTGAATTTTATCAACTGATAATTTATTTTTTTGTATTTGATTTGATCCTGAGGTTAACGGGGGAGGGGGGGGGGAGATGACGACGACTAATATTTCAGGGGGGGGGGGTGGGGGGTGGGCGGACACTGGTAAAATAATATGTTTTCTATATTACTATATTTTCCATTTCGTTTGGGGGTGGGGGGGGGGGTTTGAGCGGGGAGATGCCTGGAAGAGACTGTTATAGAGTGCATGAAAATGATGATTTCTACGAGTACTAATCTGACCCTGCATACAGTTGGCCCATTCTCTAATGTTGTACTTTATCTCGCACAGGCTTAATATCGAGTTAACATGCTTACGTGTGATCGTTTCCAATTCTCGTCAACAAAAGTTTATTGCTATAAAGTAAAAAAAAATTATGGGATATGAAACTAGTATATGAACAAACTATCATGTAAGAATAAAACAAACTATGTATCAACTCATGTATCAAGCTACTTACCAGTACAGCGTCCACCTGAGCTACAGGCCAGCCTATACCAGCAGTTTCTGATCTTTATCGAACTCGACCAGCAGCTCGCGCGCGCAGGTTTGTGACTCAGTCGGTTGCTGTACCGTACGAGTGATTCAACGAAATGTTTGTTTAGCTCACTCGCCTCGGCCCAACCCGTGTGTGTTTGTGTCGTTGTGAAATATTTGGATCAAATAGACTATTGGATGGTTGCGAATTGGAAATCAAAGTACAAGGCCTGGGCCCTAAGTTAAGAAGAGCCAGATGTCATTGTATCACCCCTCCCCCCCGGGCAGATGAGGCTCGTTAGCTGGAGACAGCCACTCTTCTACGAGAGACAAATCTAAAATTAAACAACTGCTGCCTTGTAGTATGTTCTTGGTTGGACAAAGGCTATGGAAGCAAATCCAAAAAGAAAAGCAGGCTGAAATCGGAGTCAATGGCCTCAATGGCACATAACCAGTTGACCACGTATCCTTAATTGTGTTGAAAGGGGATCCCTTCCAACACTAAAGTTAAGAGCGAAGAAGAAAAAGAACAAGCCCCTCCCCTCACCCCACCTCTCTCTCTTCACCCACCTGATGGACGCAACGGACAAGGCGTTACCTATACAACTTGGTGTCAGCAGTGTCGCAGAATCTGCTTTATGAAAAACCGGGTTGTTAATCCTATCCAGAGTTTCTTCCAGGCATCTCTTCGGTGGGGCTTTGCCCCCCCCCCCCCCCCCCGAAAATTTTTTACCGCCCCCCCCCCCCCCGAACGAAATGAAATTTATATAATTTATATAGAAAATATATACTTTTAACAGTGTCCGCCCCCCCGAAGAAAGTCTACCGCCCTCCCCCCCCCCCCGAAAATTTCAAGTGCCCCCCCCGGAGAAAAAAGTCTGGAAGAAACACGGATCCTATCGTGTACGAGTTTTCTCTCCTAGATTAATAATAATGAGAGGAGAAGGCGTGGCTGTATGGTGGCGCTGTCAGAGGTTTCCATAATCCGATTAGTACCTGGTCTGGAGTTTTCTTAATCTGATACTCTACCTGGTCAAGGGTTTTGTTAATCCGATTACATAGTCCTGGGTTTTGTTAATCCGGTAAGTACCCAGTCAGTAGTTTTTTTTTTAATCCCATAACTAATTTTTTTTTCTTTCATATACTCCATGGTCAGGGGTTTTCTCAGTGCTACATCTACCTGGATAGATTCTTGTGAAATATTAATGTCGACTTAACTTGATTCGTGGTTGATTGTCGGGGAAAGTAACATAATTTTGTTTTACTTAAACATAGTGTTTATGGCTATCAGAAATACAAAACAGGTCCTCTATTCACTTGACATAGTAGCCATCGATTTTTTAATTATTATTTTTACTACTAATATTCCTATGCATTTGGAGTAATGCAGTATTTTCCAAGTTGCTGAACTTGATGTTTATGACTCTGCGTAAGGGAGGTAAGCCAATTATAAAATATTAATAGTTTTGATGAGTTGCCTCCCCTATTTCCGTTTATACCAAGAAAACAGGGGATTTAAGATTTTAAAGGATGGGCCAAATTACATTGAATAATCAATTTTAATAACAATTTTAAAATAATTGTTTTTCAAAATATAAAACTGCTTAAACCCGCTGAGAAAATAAATGTTTAAAAATGCGAAAAACGTCACACTTTGTTGTCAAATGACCTTCCCCCTATGAGTGTGGCGTCATTTATAGTAGACCATAAGTCGCACTAGGATATTTGTATGATACAATAGTTGTACTGGTAAAAAAGCCGACCCCACATCGAATATATTTAAAAGAAACATAATATTACATATATACATATACAAATATATATATATATATATATATATATATATATATATATATATATATATATATATATATATATATATATATATAGATATATATATATATACGTATATATAGAGATATATACAGTACAGTTTGTATAGTGCTTTATATATATATATATATATATATATATATATATATATATATATATATATATATATATATATATATATGTATAAAGTACAGTTTGTATTATGTTTTAAATATATATTTACCCAATTACCTGTAGAATAAAAATAACCACAGCTAGTTATTTTTTCAACAAAACCATAATCGCGGCAAACATGTGCAAAGTTCAAATTAATTAATTTAAAAAAAAAATTCTGACTTGGGGCCGACTTACACTCCCCCGTCCACCACCATCATAGAACGGGGGTGGGGGGTGTGGAGGGTAGATAGTTTCCGCAACACAGAAGTTCCGCCACTGGTCTGTTGCAACATAATATCTCCCTGACGTACCTATCTCCTGATTAGTTTTATCCGATATACTGATGACGCATTGCCTTGTACAGTTTATAATGCCACACTATCACCTCTCCCAAACAGTATAACGTCACGGTTAAATTATAAAAAAAATACGGATCTAGAGATAA